AACCATTTCACTTCATGTCAGTTTAAAATCTGAGAAGTGAGTTGCTCTTCTGGTGGTTAGCATCTGCCAAACTGAAAGAAGGCAAGAAATGTTCTTTAAGATGATTAAAAGAGGGCAGTCTTATTTTAGAGGCATTAGAATTAACAAGTCACTTCTTGCCCCAGTTAACAACAGATTGTAGTTCATTTTCAAGATTAGCTGCCAATTTGATTTTATTGAAACTAATAGATTTACTATATTTTTTTCAATTAAGCATTTTATGTAAACATTTTATTTATTCAATATTTCATTCAAATATTTTCTCATTTCTTTTTCTTCCCTTCTTTTAATGTATTTGTTTGTACAGGAATCCATTGATTAATGCATTTTTGATTAGTATGCTACTCAATTAGTGCAGTAAAACATTCTTCAGTTTAACCATAGTATTTGAAAATTGTTTTTTTTTATAGTTACTAATGTACACATTAGCTGCACTAATTGAGGGATTCCTGTATATATATATTTGCAATTTGGACCAAAGTTGTTCCTAATTTTCATCAATGACCTTCCTGATGTCATCAATTCTCAACTTGGTATCAATACTAATGAAACGACTATTTATTGCTGTCTTAATAGTAAGTCTCATTGGTAGAATAAGTTCAGATTGGCTGCTGATCTAAAAAAATAACTTACAATCTGTTGTTAATTGAGGTAAGGAATAGATTGTTAATTTTAACACCTCTAAAATTAAATGCCTTAGAAAACCTGTTTTGTCTTCCTTCAGTATGGTTGATGCTAACCTTCAGGAGAGTAATTCATTGGGTTAATGTTTTTCAATGATACAAAGTGGAAAGATTATATTGAATCAATTGCTAAGTCTGCTGCTAGGAAAGTTGGTTCTCTGTGTCATGATAGGCAGTTTTTCTCACCAGAATCTATTTCACATATTTATAAGTCTACCATTTGTCTTTGTTTTAAATATTGTTACCATTTCTGGTCTAGTGTTTCTGCTAAATATTTAGAGATTCTTGATAAAATCCAAAGAAGAATCTGCAATGTTATTGGTCCTGACCTGACATCTCAGTTTCAGTCACTTTCCCACCACCATAACGTAGCTTACCTGTGCCTTTCCTATAAATACTTTCATAGTAATTATACTGGTGAATTTTCCCCTTGAATATAGGCACAGAACTAGACCAGCAGTTAGGTCTCATAATTTCACTGCTGAAATTACCAGTTGTAACCATTAGTTCTATACTAATATTTTTCTCTTGTATTCCTTTGTGGTACCTAGACTTTATGAATTTAAGTGCAGTACTAAGTTGGCAGATAGGTCTCATCATTTTACAGTTGAAATTGTTAGATGTAACTATAAGTTCTATGCTAATTGTTTCTTCTATTACACTTCTCGCTTGTGGAACTCTCTTTTCAGCCAACTTTGATCTTCAAAAATTTAAATGCAATGTCAATCGTTATCTTCTCAATTCTTGCTTATTTATTGTTCTCTCTCCTTGATAGTGTTTTTTTTTTCTTCTCATATTCTCTAACAATCAGTAACTCCTTCTTTCTTAGTAGATTTATTGCCTTGCTGGGTGTGAAATGATTAAACAAATACATATGTTTTTATAAAATGTTTGATTTTAAAGCTATAATAACATTTTGTACTCCCTATAAATTATTGTACTTTTATCTTAAGTTTTTAGTTGCTTTTAAATACAGTTTTACTCAGGCTGTCGATCTACAGCAATGAATAGACAACACTGATTGGAAATAAAGAATAAACCGTTGATGAGAACTTGAATTCCCTCTTGCCTTAGGGAATCTTGGTTGGGCACATAAGAGTTTTAAACAGTTACATTTTCAACAAACAATTAAAATAAAAAAAAAAGGACACACACACATTAACAAAAAATCCATTTTCAAACGCAAAGCCAGCAAACAAAATATAAATTTACTTATACAACTATATTCTTGTATATTTGACTTTCTTCATGCCATTTTGTTTATTTAATACCAAAGTTGTTCAAATTTCATAGCTGAAACATTGCCATTAATTTTTGACTAGTTTTCCTTCTATCTTACTTTGTTGCTTGTTCCTACTTCGTATTCATAAGTAGTTTGAATTTCGTAGATGACACGTTGTCACTTTTAATTTTTGACAATTCTTTTTCATTTTTATCTCATAAGTGTAAGGAAGTGGTTGGTTCTGTACCCACAATCTAAACTCATCATATTGGGAGGAAATGAGGACAGGTAATCAATTACTTTCTTGTCGAAATTAAAACATTAACTCTAAAAGTCATTGAGACTAAGTTGTTTACATACAATAAACCATTGGTTTATTGTGGTTTCTTTAGAGAAAAGTGCTTTTCAAGAAAACATCTGTCAAAGACAATGTCTGTATTTTTTTTCTAATTTTTAAAATACCAACATATTCCCCAGTGTGCTTATAAGAAGAACATTTTTTTTAGAAAATTTGGCCACAAATATATATATATATATATATATATATATATATATATATATATATATATATATATAAAATGGCTAAAGGTCATGTAATTTTGAAATTAATGATCAAGTATTCCCGGTGAGAGGCCCAGCATGTTGGGTTCCTATACAGTGATACCTCGACTTATGTCGTTTCACATTAAGTCATTTCTGAAGATACATTGTTTTTTTAAAATATTATATGGAAAAATAAAACACATCTTAGATCATTTTACTCTAGTTTATGTCGGCCTTTATAAATATTAGAAACAAAAACACTAAAATAATAATAATCACATATGAAATCATATTTAAATAAATTTAAAAATAATATTATTTATACTATATATAATAAAATCATCAAAAACAAAAAAATAGCATATTAAAGTATGTTCAGCAAAAGTTCTTATTTAAAATTCCTGCTGACAGGTAGTACTCGTGCGTTGTTTTCAGTTCCAACACCGATTTTAAATTTAAACTTGTTTACATCTGTGCTCTGCCGTTGACGTTCTTTCAATTACATTTCAATTGTGATTTAGAATACATTTTTGCGCATGGCTTCGAAGAAAAGTCCCAGAGCAACTGGTAATGCTAAGCGTAAGGCTATATTGTTGGAAGATAAGGAGGAAATGAATTATTTTATGCAGAATATTGTACGTACATATCATAAATATTGTATTAGGCAATGGGAATGCTTATTTGCGGTTTATAGTGTGACTATTTCGACTTAAGTCGTTTTTCGACCTAAGTCGTGACCACTAGAACCAATTAACGATGTAAGGTGAGGTATACCTGTATAAAGAATGTGAGCTGATTAAATCAGTTCTGCCTAAGCTGCAAAAGCGAGAGAACAAACACAGACAGTAAAAAACAGGAAAGCCAAATGGAGTAGAGGATATTAACTCACCCTCAAATGGCCTTTGTTACCCTCTTCTCCCAATGGTTCCTTTATTCCTCCCAAGCTTGTCTCGGTGTCTAGGCCATCTGCCCAGGCATATTTCTGACATAAAACAACGTTTGGCTGCTTTGATTCTTCGATAACAGCCTCAATTAGTAACTTTCTACCTTGAGTGACCCTTGAGCCTTGTATTTGGTGAAAGATAATAATAATAATAAAAATGCCAAAGTTTCTCTCCACTTGAAACTACTATCAAAAGACACAACGTATAGTGTTACTTTTGAAAGCCACAACCAGGATATCAAAGTTATAAGAGATGCTTAACTCTATTTGGTGCCGGTGATCAGGATGATATCTATCGCCAGATCTGGGTCACAGTTGCAAACAAGTGATTCAAATTTCAGACACCTGCATAGAACAGCCGAGCCTTAGAGGAGAAAAGGAAAATATAGTTTGAAGCACCTATATACTCAACATTTAAAATAAACTGCATATTATTATTTTGTGAAAGACATTCTAATCTTCGTCATTATTTCAAGACTCCTAACAATCTCAGGAATATCAACTTTAGTATAAGATATGGCTGATTTAAACTTCTGATGTTTCAATTCTGGACTTGGTACTTCTTCAGATCTTCTAAACATAATGTGAGTGGAGAAATTTTCTATGCATGGCATCACGGAACCAGTGAACAGAACATGAGCCCGTCTGTTATCTGTAGTGTTAGAATTGGTGTCATAAACATCAATCCTGTACTTGAAACTAGTATAAAAAGACATGGTGTATAGTGTTACTTTTTGATATCCACAACCAGAATATCAAAGTTATAAGAGATACCTAACTCTATCTGGTGCCCGTGACCAGGATGATATCTATCGCCAGATCTGGGTCGTCCGAACTGAAGAGTTGTATTATTGTTTTAGTTGGAGTGTTGGTTCTAATCTTTATTGAAATGACTAAAAAATACTTTCCCCTCCCAAATTTATAGGCAGAAGCACACAGATGCATGCTGTTTTTTTCCAAGCCAATAAAATAGGCCGGTTCTCAGTTTCATCTGATTCAGTCCCAGTCTGTCTTGTCTTGAAGTCGAACTTGCTTTTGTGTGTCAACTTCAATTCTTTGTTTATTAAATTTCTGCCATATTACTGTTTATTTGCCTTATTACTGTTAATTTGCCTTGCATATATTGTTTGATTACTTTATATTATTTTTTGCCCTGTTCTTTTCTTTTTCTTGTTATTTCAGACTTTGTCAATTCTGTTTGATGGACAGTTCTTTCATGTAATTTTACATTTAAGCATGGCCACTCACTCTCAGGCTCAAGTTAGTTTTATATTCGATGCATATTAAGTAACATGGATCAGAATAATTTTCGATCCATGTCATTAGAGATAAAAAAAAGAAAATCTTGTCAAAAGTTAATCATTTTGGCAATGGTTCAGGAAATTCGGACATTAGATACTTTTGGGAATGAAAAATGAAAAAAATTGTCATAAATGTTGTTTTAATGAAACAAAAAAAAACATCAATAATATGTTTGAATAAATAAGTTATTAATATTAGGTAAAAGATATTTACTTTGATTCAGATTCTGACAGCAAATAACTTGGAATATTCGACCTTTTATAGTCGGCTAAATTCGCTGCATCTCTGGCACCCGGCTCCTTAAAAAGAACAAGAAGATAAATAAGAAAGCAAGAAAGAAAGGAGAGGGAAAAAGAAAGAAAAAAGAGAGAAAGAAAATAGAAGAAAGAAAGTGAGAAAGAAAGGAGAGGGAAAAAGAAAGAAAAAAGAGAGAAAGAAAATAGAAGAAAGAAAGTAAGAAAGAAAGGAGAGGGAAAAAGAAAGAAAAAAGAGAGAAAGAAAATAGAAGAAAGAAAGTAAGAAAGAAAGAGGGAAAAGAAAGAAAAAGAGAAAGAAAATAGGAAAGAAAGTAAGAAAGAAAAAGAGAAAAGAAAGAAAAAAAGAAAAAGAAAATAGAAAAAGAAAGTAAGAAAGAAAGGAGAGGGAAAAAGAAAGAAAAAAGAGAGAAAGAAAATAGAAGGAAGAAAGTAAGAAAGAAAGGAGAGGGAAAAAGAAAGAAAAAAGAGAGAAAGAAAATAGAAGAAAGAAAGGAGAAAGAAAGGAGGGAAAAGAAAGAAAAAGAGAGAAAGAAAATAGAAGAAAGAAAGTAAGAAAGAAAGGAGAGGGAAAAAGAAAGAAAAAAGAGAGAAAGAAAATAGAAGAAAGAAAGTGAGAAAGAAATAAAGATAGAAAGAAAAAGAAAATAGAGAAAGGAAAAAAAAGAAAGAAAGAAAAGGCAAGGAGAAATAAAAGAAAGAGAAAGAAAAAATAAAATGAAGAAAGCGAAGAGAGAAAGGAAGAAAAATAAAAAAGAGAGTAAAGAGGAGAGATAAAAGAGAGAAAGAAAGAAAGGTGAAAAGAAATGAGGGCAAAATAAGGAGATAAAGAGAGAAAAAAAGAAAAATGAAAGAAAGAAGCATTGAAAGAAGAAAGTCTAAAAACAAAAAAGAAAGTAAAACAAAAAGAAGGGAAAAACAAAAAGAAAGGAAGACAAGCAACTAGAAAAAGTAAAATAATTTACAAAAAACAATTACAAAAATGACAAAGAAAATCTAATGGAATAAGAAACAAACATACAAGAAAAAAAAAAAAAGAAAGAAGTGAAGAAAAGAGAAAAAGGAAAATGTAGAAAAAGAAGTTGAAAATGGAACGAGAATGATAAAAGAAAAAAAACGTGATAAAAAAAGAAAGAAAAAGCAAAGAATGATAAAGAAAGATAGACGCAACGAATAAGAAATAACAAAGAAAAATAAATAAAGAAAGAATTAAAAGGAGAAGGAAAAATTATTTTGTCTGTTACTTACGTCAGTTAAGCCTGTATCTTCACTATCTTTAAGGTTAAATGTCAATTCTCGTTGGACAGAATCTGAAAGTATTTCTGCTACATTGGGATATAACGATAATACGTTGATAAAACCCAAAGTATTAATGCCTTGAAGTTCGCAGTACGTCAAGGATTTCACACTGAAACTTGACGGTAACACTGGCTCGTCATACTGCAGATCAATCCCAAATAAATCACCTTTTCCTGGTGGTGGAAAGAGAAGAAAGATATCAAATATATAAAAATCTATACAAAATCTACAAAACTCTCTTTGTTGCATAAACATCTACACCTGCAAAATTCTCTTTGTTATTGCTCGCCCTAAATTTGGTGCTATAGTGATTGTGAGTTCAATTCCTGGGGCGGGCAGTGTGTACTTGGACTAAGTGGAAACAGGGCGAGTAGTAACTGAACAGTCCTAAAAATAAGATGAGATATCCCTAGAAATGGCCAGTGGAACGAGAAGAGTCTACCTCCGTAGATTAAATAAAGGGTTCAATACAGAATTCCTTGTAGATTACCCAGATCGATATATACCTGATGAAGGTCGGGGGTGCAAAGGCCAAAACGTTGTGATATGAGAACAATGTAAATAATTATAACTCTTCATCTTAGAAATCCAGAGAGAAAAATAAATCTATAGTTTGAGTGGTTTTTGGTCCCCCAATTATTTTGAATATTACAGACAGAGTACTGAATAATATTGAAACAAATCATAGACTAAAACTTGTAAAATCCAAGATTTAATCATCAGAAATAATTTGTTAAGCCAAAGATAGTTACGGCTTAATGCGGGGAGGAGAGTAGCCGTACAGTCTGTGGGTAATAATAATATATTAAATCAATCTTTTATACACTAATGTTTGTAACACTGCATATGTAATTATTAGAGAGAATGGAAGTTTTTACTTTTTCTGTCTGAATTTCTAGGAGGAGGAGTTATAATTATTTATACTATTTACATTCGGATTATTTTCCTCATTTTTGTTGTTATTATCACAACGTTTCGGACGTTGTGCCCTCCGACCTTCATCAGGTATGTATTGATCCCGGTAAAATACAGGGAATTCTGAACTAAACCTTTAATTTAATCTACGTTGTAGATTGTTCCCATTCCAGTTTCCACGTCTTGGTACATATCGTCAAGTTCTTAGTTTTAGTACTGATTAATTATAGCTCGCCCTGAATTTGGTGAGACAGAAATTGAGCCTTACGTTCTCGAGACGGACAGTGTGTACGTAGACTCAGTGGAAATGGGGCAAGCAATAACTGAGCAGTACTAAAATAGGAACTAGATGAGATATACCTATACATGGGCAGTAGAAGAGTGTGTACGTAGACCCAGTGGAAATGGGGCGAGCAATAACTGAGCAATACCAAAAATAAGAACTAGACGAGATGTCCCTAGACATGGACAGTGGAACAGTGTGTACGTGGACTCAGTGGAAACGGGGCGAGCAATAACTGAGAAGTGCTAAAAATAAAACGAGATGAGATATTGCTAGTCTTAAGCTGTGGAACGAAAACTGTCTGCTCCTGTAGTTTAAATATAGTTCAGAATTCCATGTAGGTTACATTGTTCAATATACTCCTGATGAAGGCCGGAGGGTATAACTGTCGAAATATTGCGATTACAACAACTAAGATGAGGAGAATAGTTCCAATGTCAATAGCATAAATTATCAGTACATAATATTTAAATGATTGAGTTCAGAATTTCCGGATCGATATACACGTGATGAAGGCTGGAGGATACAACGGCTGAAATGTTGTCTTAAGAACAAGAAAGATGAGGATAATAGTCCAAATGTAAATGGTGCATACAAGAAAGTTACGTATTTGTTTCTTAAATTCTACCTTGTTTGTTTTGTTTTGTTTTACGGCATATCAACATCAATGGGTTATTTAATACCGACAAGAATTTTCACTGTTGGCCATATTTTTTCCAAAAATCTATTTCCGGTAAGAATTTTCCTTCGCTGGTAGTATTTATTTTTCAATAATGTATTGCTAATAGTATTTATTTTTAAATAATGTATTGCAGGTAGTATTTATTTTTCAATAATGTATTGCTAATAGTATTTACTTTTCAATAATGTATTGCAGGTAGTATTTATTTTTCAATAATGTATTGCTAATAGTATTTATTTTTCAATAATGTATTGCAGGTAGTATTTATTTTTCAATAATGTATTGCTGCTCTCATTGCACCAGAGAGAGGGATCAGTGCTCGCACCGAGGCCAGCGCAACCAACAATGTGCGGGGGCTGCGGGCAATTTTTGTTCCTAGCCCGGGTGTACGCGCTCGGGTGCCCACCTTAAAAAAAGACCTTGTGTCACAACTCGTCTTAGTGAGGAAACAGAGTAAATACCTAATGTATTGTTGGTAATAATCTTTTTTTTTTTAAATGTATTGCTAGTAATATTTGTTTTTCAAAAATGTATTGCTGGTAATATTTTTTACATTGTTTTTCTGGTATTAAAACCCATTTTTACACATTCATGGTGTTTTGACCTCACTTTGGGGGCGTTAACTATTTGCCCATAGCTGGGACCCTAACAGGTGATACCACCCCGGGTCAGGGTGGACCTGGGAACACTAGCAATGAAGAGGTGGTTCCACGCTCCTCAAAACCTCCTGATCAGAGGCCTTGCTGTTGGACGTAGTTTATCGTCTTATACAGGACGCGAATGCAGTTTATCGTCATACCCAGGCCGGTAAATTCTACCTGGTCTTTGTAACAAGATAATAATAATAATAATAATAATAATAATAATGCTAAAATAAATGAAACTGATTGGTAGATCTTACCTAGAAGGGCAATAACCTTGTCGTCTTTCAAGATCTCCAAAGAACCTGAAAGAATGAAATACAAATAACTAACTGCGTCTCCTCGATGAATGAGATATTCACCCGGAACGCAGAAAGAACGACGAATCTGTAACGAGATGGCTTTCAAACAACCCTGGTTTACACCCTCAAACAAAGGCAATGATAGTATCTCTTTGTAAAGATGCATAGATATCTCGCCTCTCATCTCTTCCGGGAATTCAGAAAATAACTGAAAAATAAAAGAGAAGGAAAGAAAAAAAGAGAATGAGTAATTAGTGAATGCATGTCAATAAGTGTCAAGATATCATCGAAAGAAATATAAGGTCTGTACAAAAGTTTATAGTAAACTCGTTATTTTTTTTAATCAGAGACCAGGTCCCATCTACAAAGTTATGCGCTGTTTTTATCAAAACTCATCATCTTCTTTCGCACGTTTGATTGTATAGGTTACACACATATAACTATACAAGAAATTTGTGCCCTCAATCTATATATAAAATTCTGTGACTTTCGTTAATCCATCCGTCCGTCTGTCACACTCTCTATAATAGCCATACATCGACCAATCAAAACCAAATTTCCGGAAGAAGAGCAAACAGGTAAGTGGGTACAAAGTACAGTTGGTTTTACTAGGGTGTGAAGCTTAGTACAATAAATTTTACTAGAGAGTGTAGCTTAGTACAATAAATTTTAGTAGAGAGTGTAGCTTAGTACAATAAATTTTCATTCATTTTTCTGGAAAAAATTAAAAGTTTTATTATTTAGCATGCAAAATGCTACCACTATTTTAAAAAACAATTTAATGTTTAAAATAACAAATACTTATTTAATAAAAATGCAATATTGATTTTTGCATGTTTTTTCTTTAAGTTATTAAGTGTTATTTAATGCCGAAATCTAAATATCTGAACACAATTTTATGACTTCAACTAAATATATACTATAAATAACTATTGTTGGTATTATTTTTTAAATATAAAAATGTGTTGCTGGTATTTTTACTATAAAAATGTATTTTTATACTTTCAATCTTTTGTTTTGTTTTGGGGTTCACTATTTGTCCATAGCTGGGACCTTAACAAGTGCTACCGCCCCGGGTCAGGATGGACATGGGAACAACCACAAATAAGAGGTGATTCCATGCCCCTCAAAAGCTCCAATCTCCCAATCAGAGGCCTTGTTGTCGGATGTAGTATATCGTCATACCAGGACAAACAGGACAGATTGAGGGCAAGAGGGATTGAAGAAAACAATGCATCACATAATTGACGAGCTTGAGTAACAGGGGTTTATAGGATACAAATCCTATATTCCAACAAATGACTAAAAAAACACAAAGTAGATTTGCACACCCGCAAAATCGGATCAAAACGACCAAAAACAGATTTCACAATAAGGTGTGAAATTAATTTTCTGACCAATGAAAGGAGGCGATTTGCTAAACCAAAAAAAAAAAAAAAGGATAACGAGCCAGTGTGAAAAAAAAGTCAACAATAAATACAGAGTTTTCAAGTCAGTCGCCAGTCAGTCAGTCAGAGAAGGGCGCAAAAGATCACAGAAGATTGACAGTAAATTTCATCACTGACTCAGACTTACACAAAGAGCCGAAAAGTGGAGTAGGAAGGAACAACAACAACAACAACAACAACAACAAATTTACAACTGACTTCAAAACAATTCATAAGTACATTTTCCTTTTATCTTTATTCCTCATTCACACTCTCTTTTTCAACTTAAATTGCTCGCCCCTTTTTCATTTTACAACTATACAAAACAAAAGAAACAGACATTATTCTGCTACTCTGTTAAAAGACAGCGAACACGGACATTTTTATCAAAATCACAATTTTGCTTAAACGAACTAAAGCATTAATCCTTTTTACCCTATTCACAAGATAATAAATATACAATGTTGTATTTTCTATAAACGTTCCTTATCGTGTTGTTTCTTCTTGAAATTTGCGTTGTATTTTGTGGGCAGGGTATCTCGTATTAAATTCTCCTTAATCCGGGTACGCTGAACCCCACAGGCTAGAAGAAATAACAAAAAGACGAAATTTATTCGGAGCTACAAAGGATAAGAAATTGTGGAGAGCCTTGATCACCTACATCCTGAGAGACACGTCACATAAAGAAGAAGAAGAAGAAGAAGAAGCGCAGGAGATCACCAGTATCCTCGAACTGGTGCGTTGCATACGACCATAGGAAAAAATAAATACAGTGAGTCAAAGCTGAGCTATTTGGAGATAACTCTCTGGTGTAGGAGGTAGAAACAGTGAAAAGATGAATGATAAAAAAGAATGAAAAACTCAAATAGAAAATATTATTCTTGTTTAAAGCAAATATTGTGTCCCATTCTACTAGACCAGTGTTTCTCAACCTTTTTAAACAACAGTACACCTAGGAGCAAATGAAAATATCACGCAACACAAAATTTTAAAGGGTATACATTTAAATGTTATGGAATAAAACCATAGATTTAAAAAAATACACATACAGATATGAACTTTATTTCACTGTTTCTATTCAACTATTTGCTCAGCTTATTTAGAGTGAAATACGTGCCTGGTGCTTTTTCGCGATTTCCTCAATGTTTGTTTGAATGTGCGACAATATTTATTTCTTTTATATAAATAGAATTATAGTCTTAAAATTTAGGATAAAAAATGGTTTCCTTGTCACATGCTTTTCTTCTAGAGGCTCTCTAACCCTGAATGGCGAACACTCTAAAATGAAGGACTTATAGAGATAATATTTTCAACTTCTGCTCTCTGGAACATTGTAGTAAGGGTTTAATAAAATAAATGAGTGATAATCATGAGTTTTAGATTAAGATAAAAAAGTTTAGCGAACAGTCCTTGCTCTCTTGAAAACTGAGCAAGTAGTTAACCCAGGGTTTCTCAATCTTTTTAAACAACGGCACTCCAAGCAGCAAATGAAAATGTTGCGGTACACTTAGCAACATTTTTAAAGGGCATATATTGAAATGTTATGAAATAAAAAATAGATTTAAAAATATTTATACAAATATAAACTTACTTTATTTCAATGTTTCTATTCAACTATTTGTGCAGCTTATTTAGTGTGAAACCTATGCCTGGTGTTTTGTTTTTGTTTTTTTCGCAATTTCTTCAATGTTTTTTTCGAATCTGCGATAAGCAAAATCTCATTCTTCTCCAGTTAAGTGTTGTCTTTCTCGCTTCTTATTTTTTGCTATTTACGACCGTTAAACCTAATTCCCATAAATAAGAAGTAGAAAATTGCAATAAAACTGATAAAGCCTTTTTTGTTTTTAGCTTGTCGGAGTTAGCTCCTCCTTAATTCCCAAATTGTCACTAGGGGTCATTGTCCATATACTATAAATACTGAGCGACTTCTCGCCTCGTTCTCTTTTTCATTTCAGTGACTACAATGTAAGCTCTCTTAGAAGATCCGCGTGTTCCCATTTGTAGGAGACGCCATGAACATTATACACACATACACGTACGGACGAACATTCACGAAAATATGAACATTCACCAAAGAACAGACAAAAACGTTCACACACACACACACACACAAATATTATTGTCTATGTCCATTGTAAAATTATTTTGTTTAATGCATATATTTGTTCATATATATATATATATATATATATTGTGACGAGAATATCCATGGCAACCAAGAAAAAAGTCTTAAAAACGCTTATATCCATGGCAACAAAGAAAAAGATTCTTAAAAACGCTCTGCCAAAAAAAAACAAAAAGAAAACAACAAAAAAAAAACGGTTAGAAGACGCTCGGCAAAACGAAGAAGATGGATTGCAACTAACGGACAGAAAGCTAAGTACAAAAAAATAATCTTCTTTTGTAGAATATTGCCTTCTACATTGAAATGTCTGAGATATCCCTCTCTATAATTTTCTTTCTTATGTGAACATAAATTCACTTGGATATTAAAAATAACTGTCTGAGATATCGCTTTCTATAACTTTCTTCTTAATGTGAACATTAATTCACTAGAACATTGAATTTAAAAGCATTTTATTTTATTCCATCGCACTCCATCATTTTATTTTATTCCATCCCCACTCTTAAATCTATTTCCCTCAAGTAACAAATTAAATTATTTTGTTATTGTTACGATCGTCTTATCTTCATCATTTATTTGGATAAATCGTTGGTACCTTTATTTTGCGGCTTTCTTTCTGTAAACCAAATTTTATCTGAACCCATGTTTATACCCGAACCACATCCCTGAGCCAACCTGGGTATAGAATATCCGACGTAAATATAATTTTTTTATGACACAGCAGCCGGGGTCATCAGAGAAAATTCGATTATACTTCGCTCCGCTCGTGACAATATATATATATATCGGTCTTGTTTGTCTTCTTTTTCTTCAGTTGGATTTAATTCGGCCATTTTCTTGTAGATGGACCTTTTAATATTCTACCAGGCGTTACACACGTGTCTCTAATAGAACAACTCACAAACCATACGGTCCTTCTACAAGCTAATGTGGGGTATTCCTTTTGTATTGAAATCTAAAATGTATCAATGGGTACTATCGAATGTTTTATTTTGAGACTTCGGTCATTAGAAATGGCGGCCAAATCTTCTTCACATAACTGTAGTTCACTATTAGAAGGATCATTTATGAAGAGATTTTGAATCCAATCATTCGCGACAGACTTGATCGCGTGGCAGTTGAGGATCACTATTAGACTATCAGTTTGGATCAGACAAGCATCTTTCAAAACAGGGTGAGAATCAATAGGAAAATAATAAAATGCTTACCTCATTAAAATTAATGCCGTTGTTCATTGTCCACATACTCTGAAAATATTCCTGTATTCTGTGCTTTAGAGGCTTTGGTATATTATACGTATGGTAGAAATCTTTTAGGTCATTTGACTTCATATGAAATGTGGCCCGGCGAGCGTAAGCTCTTTGGACAATAGCAGTAACATTACCAAACACCAGGGCATACATCATTGCTGGAAATGGAAGAAATGGAAAGAAGTGAAAAAATGTATTTTAAAATTTCTCTCTTATTGTAAAAAAAGGTATTTCTAAAAAGCAAGCGACTAGTTAATTGCAGACTGATGTTTCACACAGCATAATATAATAAAATGAGCGTTCATTTCGAAATAGTTTTAGTCTGGAGTATGAGTTTTATTTTTGTTACAGTTTTAATCTCTGAAGTGGGCCCAGTTTGCGAAACGTAGCTAGTTGAGAAATTATCCAACATTTTTTTCTCCTTTTTTTCTCTTATAAGATATAAAAATAAATTTATTTATACTTTGTTTGCTTAATTTTTCTCTTCATATCTTCTTTTATTTTTCCTTCTTTCTTTCATGTTATCTTTTATTCTTTCATCCTAATTCTTTGTTTATTTAATATTGATTTTTATTACGTCTTTTATTTTCATTCCTTACACTTTTTATTTATTCTTTCTTTTTATTTTTTAATTTTCAATTTTTCTTTCTTTCTTTCTTTCTTTCTTTCTTTCTTTCTTTCTTTCTTTCTTTTATTTTATTTTCTTCATATTTTCTTCTTTTTTTCTTTTTCGTTTATTCCTTCTTTTATTTTTCATTTTTTCTTTCTTTTTTATTTTTCATTTTTCTTTCTTTCTTTTTCGTTTTTTCGTTTTTCCTTTTTTCTTCTTTTGTTTCTTTTTCGTTTATTATTTTTTATTTTTCATTTTTTCTTTCTTTTTTATTTCTTTCTTTTTCATTTATTCTGTTTGTATTTTTCATTCTTTCTTTGTTTTTCGTTTATTCCTTTTTTATTTTTCATTTTTCTTTCTTTCTTTCTTTCTTTCTCGTTTATTCTTTCTTTCATTTTCTTCATTTTTTCATTTCTTTCTTTTTCCGTTTATTTCTTTTATTTTATTTTCTTCATTTTTCTTCTTTCTTTTCCATTTATTCCTTCTTTAATTTTCTTCATGGTTTCTTCTTTCTTTCTTTCTTTCTTTCTGTCTAAAATTATCTAATTTGATAACTATTTACAAAGTTCATTCTACAGGATTCATGGCAATAATTACTCATAAATATGGTCATTTGATCCAATAGTTAATTTATAATTTTTAATATTTTAATATACACTGTCTAATTATTAAATAATAATTTAACAAACGTGCAAATAAAATTGATTGGGCTTAGAACTGTTTCAAAATGTCTGAAATGCAAGAATTGTTAATTATGTCAGGCACTTAATCGTCCTTATTCATGCTGGTATAATTTAGTATTATTGTGGTGAGTGTAAAGTGATTCCCTGACTCACTAGGTGTCCCTTATCCACAAACACAGAAAAAAAAGGTAGATCTTCTTTTTAATTAAAGCAGAACTTTCCAAGGCAAAAATAATATTCTCCTTTTACTATTATGCAAGGAGAATATATTTTTACTATTATGCAATGAGACTATATTTTTACAATTATGCAAGTAAAATATATTTTTACTATTATGCAAGGAGAGTATATTTTTACTATTATGCAAGGAGAGTATATTTTTACAATTATGCAAGTAAAATATATTTTTACTATTATGCAAGGAGAATATATTTTTACTATTATGCAAGGAGAGTATATTTTTACAATTATGCAAGTAAAATATATTTTTACTATTATGCAAGGAGAGTATATTTTTACTATTATGCAATGAGAGTATATTTTTACAATTATGCAAGTAAAATATATTTTTACTATTATGCAAGGAGAGTATATTTTTACTATTATCTAAGGAGACTATATTTTTACAATTATGCAAGGAGACTATATTTTTACTATTATACAAGTAGTCTATATTATTACTATTACGCATGGATACTATATTTTTTATTATTATGCAAGGAGAATATATTTTACTATCATGCAAGGCGACTATATTATTACTATTATGCGAGACTATATTTTTGCTATTATGCAAGAATATTTTTTACTATCATGCAAGGTGACTATATTTTTTATTATTATGCAAGGAGAATATATTTTTCTATGCAAGGAGAATATATTTTTCACCATTGATTTCATGTTTGAATTCAGATTAATGGAGTCATATGCGGACGTCCGATCCCATCAAAGGCACATGATGAAAGTCTCATTTTGGAATTCTGGGATCTTTCGATTTTCCTATTTTAATTATTTATTGCAATATGGGAAAAGGTCATATTTTTATCTATTTATTTATTGAACTGTCTCGTTATGAAGTAAAATCAAACAAATAAGTAAGAAATAAAATTGGACTCACATCCTATCAGCATGACGCAAATAGAGAATATCTTTTCAGCATTTGTACTTGCAGAGACATTACCGAATCCGACAGTGGTGAGACTGCTACATGTGAAGTAGAGAGCAGTAAGATAACAATCCCACATTTCAGGAATGTTTGTTCTATTTACAATAGGATTTTCCAGAACTTCTGATAAGTCGTATAACCAGCCTAGAAAAAAGAAAAAGAAAGAAAGAGCATTACATGAATTAAAAAAAAGAAAATAACGAAATGACAAAACAGAGAAAAATGTAATAAACATAATAACCTCAAGACGTGAAATAAGAACATACTAAACACTTCAAATATGGCGATGTATTTTTTGTTAAGCGTTTCACCGTAAGCAAGGCGATAATTTCACTAGAACACTGGGGTGGGGGTTACAGGGAGTGGAAACACTGAAAAGACTTTAGGGAGGAGAAGTGAAGAAATGGACAATAAAGGAACACGATTCAGGAAGACAGAAAATGGTGGTTGCCCTGAAGAAGTCCTGAGGGTGCAACTATCGAAACGTCCTCATAATAACAACAAAGATGAGGATATTCGTTATCCAGTTCAGAGAGAGAGAGAGAGAGAGAGAGAGAGAGAGAGAGAGAGAGAGAGAGAGCAGACAATAGAAATTAGGATTATTGTGTTACTGTAGATATATTACTTACTTTAACTTAGGGCTGGCACATGGCCAGTTGAGTGAAGCATCCAATGAGCTTAGCAATAAGCATTTGATGTTATAATTGATATTTATTAAGATTAATCAAGTCGGATTGTTGAAGATAAGAACCAGAAAAATATGTCACGTCTGTCTTCCGACTAGGGGAAACACCGCTGTCTTGAAAATCAATATTAAAGAAATCTTGGTTTTCCCTTCGACTCTATTATTGGAAACAAGTATCTATCCACCCAGGGATTGAACCCAGAATTTTCTATTCCACTAAGATTCTTTTGGCGTCTAATATTTGAGATCTCTTTGCGGCTGTAAAGAACAGTTCATCTCTTTGATTTTGTAGCTTTTCTGCAACTGTTTTTTATAACCCTAGATTCTTGCTAACAAAAACATCTCTTTTGTAACCTCGTGGAAGTCGGGTAACTTGCGAAATTGGCCAAATTCTCTTCAATTATATACGCATGTTCCAAAGTAACGTGCAATATGGTTCTCATCCAAGATCCTGCCAGGGTATTCTTTGCACTCAGTGTGACATCAGAGATGCCAGGTGTATCGACAGGTTGGTCTGAAAGACAACCGCCTGGCCACCAAGTACAGATCCGCACCTCACAGGATGTCAGCGGTTGGCCTGACGTGTGAACACGTGATGGACACGCGGAGGAAAGAACCGTATAACATAGATAGATATATGAACATCAACCCCAGAGGAGAGAAAAATGTCTCTCTTTCTCTCTCGCTCTCTCTCTATCTATCTATCTATTAGAGCGTGCATGAGAATGTATGGTCCATGTTCGGATATAGGGTTCGTACCCACACCCACCCTCTGGCCGGCAGTTACTGATGAAGTCTGGACTTGAATAAAATATAATATTACTTGAAGAAGACTCAGTTCCGTGTTTTCATTACGAATACACATCAATACTGCATCAATAATCTGGCTCAACCTGTAAGCCAGCACTGATTGCCATGAGAGTATTTTTAGATTCACCGGGTCACTATATGGCTCTGACATTATTGTTTGGTTGAGTTAGCTGCATCGACTATTTTTGAGCATTTCAAAGACTGGTAAGGTATTTTTACTGTCTTCTGTGCATTTTCATTATAACCTACTGGCACATAGCCTCATTCATGGTTCAAATAAATACAAAAAATGTTTTTTCTAGTGTGAAACGCAAACACCATATGTTGTCCATAATAGATAAGGTATGTCAATTTTATTTTTGTTTTTCCTTTATTAACTAACATGTAGAGGTTTACAAGGTATTCTAAAGGAAGGATGAAGTGGGTAGTTGTTGGGTTATGTGTATTCTAGCTTAACCAGCATTAAAAAGGTTACCGGACAAATAACTTATCCATCAAACTGTGACACCCTACATTGCTTAGTTCAGACATACCCATTTAAGACCCGCCATACACAGAGGCGAATCATCCTCATTCCTGTTTGCATTCGATTGGTAAAAAGTAAGTTTCATTTCATTCGGACAGCTTTTTGCAACAGATGCATCTTCTCAAAGGATGCTACTTTATGGAACACACTCCCAAAAGGAAGCTTCTTCCTAAGAGCAGCTACTTTATGGAACAGACTTCAGAAGATGATTCTTTCCAAGAGCTGTTACTTTATGGAATAAGCTTTCGAGGCGATGTTTCTCCCCAAGGGATACTACTTTATGGAACACACTTCGAAAAAGAAGATTCTCCCTAAGAGCAGCTACTTCATGGAACAGACATCAGAAGGCGCTTCTTTACAAGAGCTGTTACTTCATGGAACAAATTGCCATGAGAATCCTTCTCCAAACACTACAATCTTAACATCAAGTTTAGGGTCAACTGTTACGTATCGTACGTACCGCATAATCTGTATTTACTTTTCCCTTCCCCTTCCTACTGTAAACAGGAATTAAA